GAGAGTGACTTGGGGGGGTAAGATTTTTGGGGGTATAAGTTTTCGAGAGTCTTTCGAGGTAGGTTTGATGCTCAAAAGTTTACACTCAAAAAATCTTGTCAGTCTCCACGGTGCTCTCGGACTTGAATCTAGTTGTATGAATTAATTTATCTGCCATACTGGTAAAAGGATTTACGTACGGTAGAGCAATCTTGTCTGCCGGTTTGCCGTCTAATCGTTATTATTTTATTGCCGTTAACAGTTATTTAAAACTCATTTAAAACTGATTTTAAGCTTTGTTTTTTATTTGTATTTATTTTAAGGTTTGCCTACGAAGCCCATTTTGGCTATCTGATTAGGATTGAGGGTTGAGTTTTTACCCCCTTCGGTTTTTTGACACCTGGATACTGGAGGAAGAAGGCCTTTGGGATCTCAGTTTCAAGAAGCCGCTCGCTCGGTTTTCCGTTCAGGCACCTTGCGGGGTGGAAGACTGCAGGAGACCCCGTTGAACCAGGCTGGCCGAAATCTGAAGGACCTTGCGAGGCCAAGCCTTCGTGGCACATGAACATTAAAAGTGCCCAATTCAACCACTATATTTTCTCTAATCCATCACTTCCTAAGTAGCTTGGTTGTGTTGAACTTTTTTAACGCATCACTATGTTGAACTTTTATAGTAATGAGAATGCGGCCCAGGGCTCTTTTTGTAGCAGGAACTCCTTTGCATATTAGACGACACACCCAATCCTCCAAGAGCTTACAGGAGCCCCTGTAAGAAGAGCTCTGTAAGCACTGGGAGGATTGGCTACATTAGGGGTGTGTCACCTAATATGCAAAGGAGTTCCTGCTACAAAAAGAGGATAGATAGATAGATGATAGATAGATAGATAGATAGATGATAGATAGATGATAGATAGATGATGATAGATGATGATAGATGATTGATAGATGATTGATAGCTGATAGATAGCTGATAGATAGCTGATAGATAGCTGATAGATAGCTGATAGATAGCTGATAGATAGATGATAGATAGATGATAGATAGATGATAGATAGATCTTTTGTAGCAGGAACTCCTTTGCATATTAGGCGACACACCCCTAATGTAGCCAATCCTCCAAAAGCTTACAGTAGCCCCTGTATGCTCTGTAAGCTCTTGGAGGATTGGCTACATTAGGGGTGTGTCACCTAATATGCAAAGGAGTTCCTGCTACAAAAAGAGATAGATCTTTTTGTAGCAGGAACTCCTTTGCATATTAGGCAACACACCCCTAATGTAGCCAATCCTTCAAGAGCTTACAGTAGCCCCTGTAAGAAGAGCTCTGTAAGTTCCTGAAGGATTGGCTACATTAGGGGGTGTGTCACCTAATATGCAAAGGAGTTCCTGCTACACAAAGAGCCCTGAAATGCCTAATGGAATGTTCTTTATATTAGTATTGTAGGACTTCTAGTTCTTTCCTTTTAAGAACAAAGCTCTTTATATGCTATCGTTCATGATATTATAAGAATATCCCCAGTTTTTGTATGCAGACTGTATTGTTGTTCAGACTGGTTCTCTTATATACTCTGAAATATTTTACACTTTATTATCTTGCAAAAAGTTATTTAAAAGTTAATTTAGGAAAAAAGTGCCCAATTCCGCCATTGTGGACAAGGAGCTGCGAAACTCGCTGGGCGGCCCTGGGCCAGTCCCCGTCTCTCAGCCTAGCCTCCTTCGCAGGGTTCTTCGTGAGGATAAAGGGAGACTGGCTGATACTGCCTTGCGCTCCCTGGAGGAAGGGCAGGAGAAGAATGCGAGAGGGAAGACAGACAAGAGCAGACCCAGAGGGTCCTAGAGCAGACGCCACCAAAACAAGCACGCAACGGGAGCCACTCTTTAGGGGGGGCCGTCCCACTACTCCGCTAAGAGTGCAAACGCTCACCAACAGGTCACAGTCAAGCGAGGTGGATCCTGACTCCTCGGCTTCTGTGTTCCACCAGAAATTTAGGGAGAGACGAGCCAGTTCTTTGGCAACTTGGCTCTCAAATCCAGGAATAATTCGTTGAGAGGAAACAATGCTACTGAAACGCCACGGGCTTCTTGACAGGCAGAAGCTTTAGAAATGGACAATCCTGTCGAGGCGTTTTTAGGAACCGCTGGCTGCGGATTTGCAGAAAGACATCGATGGAGCGGTTAAGACGGCAGGTCAAGAGCCGTGCACACAGAGGAGGGTCAGGATCCAACCAAAGCACCTGCCCGCTGGCCTAGGCAACTTCAAGAAGGCTTCGAAGAGCTTCAAGTTGGTGGCAGAGGAGGAAAGCAGGAAAGGCTTTCGGGCACAGACTCATCCTGCCTCTGCTGGGGCACAACCCCCCCCCCCAAATCTTAATTTAGATTGCACCGTGCCACATATGCTAGCATCGCTTAAAAGCAGGGGTCCCCAACGTGCTGCCCACCAAGTCTTTTAGAAAGTGGGTGGGGCAAGGCGGGGCTTTTTGCCCAGCAAGGCCTCTCACTGGCTACTGGAGATCTGACTGACAGTTCAGATGGCTTCAACGACAGCTGCCACCACAGCACAGGAATATTCACTGTATGACTGAAGGTAGTGCAAGAAAATATTTCAAAACCTCATGTCCTTTTAAAAAAGGTCATCTGGCTGAACAGATCTTCTGACTGACATGGCAAAGAGTTACTATTACAGTTGCGCATCACATTTTGTGGCTGCGTCTCCACTTCCGGAGGCAGCCATTTTGTGGCCGTGCCCACCACCCTGTGGCAGGATTCCAAAGGAGCCCGCAGTCTCAGAGGGGTTGGGGAACCCTGCTTTTGAAGGCATGTGCAACTTGCCATTCTTCCCTGCACAGTAAACCCCGCCCCCTTTCTCAGCAGCAGCCAATCGGGGATTTTCTAAGAGGTCTGCAGCTCTTCCTAAAGTCTGCGCTAGGCAAGCGGAGCAAGCTTGGGAGAGTCGCGATCCGAGCAAGTTTCCCCGAGCCACTCAGGGAGGGGCAGGGTTGCCTCCGCTCGTTCAAGTACCTTACTAGTACACTGTCTAACTGTATTGATTAGCTCCTGAATAACCAGGTCGACACATTTCAGGCATGGCTCTTTCAGCTTCACCACCTGTTTTTTCACAATGGCCTCAAAGGCCAAGTCGGGTGTGAACAGCCCCGTCCTACGATAATCCGCATGAAATGAAGAAAAACAAGGGGGGGGGGGGACAGAAGACAGGGTGAAAGGCCAGTAATGCTCAAGAAAGCTGCTTCCGCCCCCAACTGCTGGCCCTCCCCATCGCAGTAAGCGGCCCTTTCTCCATCCGTGACATCACATGGTTCAACGACATCATCCCGTTTAAGGGGTGTGACGAGGGCCTCGTTGAAATGGGGCGTAGCGAGATCCTGATTACATCACCAGTTTTTCTTGCTGTTCATGTAGAAGTGAAATCAGATCAGGTTCATCTGTTGGTTAAACTGATACCTTTGACAGCTAATTAAATCAGTTACAGACATACTAGATTTATTGCCTTTTAATAAAGAGTTAAGTCTGGCCTGATCTTGATTGGAAAAAAAGATTATGACCACATATCAGATTATGATTAAAGATTATGAACACATTATTTCACCTGTTTATCTCATCAGTAGTTAAGAACCAATCATTTATCTAGATTATCTGTTTAAGTTAGAAAACATTTAGAGTTATGATTGCTATTTTTCTAGATAAAGGCATCGATGTGATAAAGCAAATGAGATTTCTCTAAGAGATTAGGCATAATTTCTGTTTTTGTGTGTGCCTTATAGAAAAATTCCTAAAAGCCTTTTCAGGCAACACTCTGAAATCTGATTTTACATTTTAATTATTTATATATGGTTAAGAAACGTTAGAAGATCTGATATTTTGGCACTTGTTTTTGCAAGAGAGTTAGTTTTCACATGCGTATATTTTTAACATCTTGTCTAATAAAGATAATTCATTTCTTTCTTCAGCAAAAGACAAAGAAGTTATCTGCCAGATTTTCTGATAACAGCTCAAAGAACAGAACTCACAATTAATTCATTTGTACTATCACAAAACTAAAGGATGCAAACAACTTAACCAGATAGGTACGGCAGATATTTGGGGCTAATAGCTTAAAAAACAACTCTCAGACAGATAATCAGTTCAGACTCTCTATTTGGATGTGAGAGCAAATGATTCCGTTATGGAGGAGAAGGAAACACAGTAACCTCTGCTACAGGAAGGCATTTTGCAATTCGGATCTTGCAATGCACTTCATTTGCAGAAGTTTATCTTCTTGCTCAGACTCAGACAACAGGCAGGCTGCAAGAAGAAAGACTGTGTGTGGCAGGCAAAGGGGAGGCCCACAACAAGTATGAAGGAAGGGGCACTGGAAAACAGAGGTGACAAGAAGAAACCATGGATCCGGCAGATTATCCCCCTGTAAGGCAGGGCTACCAGGAATGATTAAATTTCTCATGACACAACAGGACAGCAGAAACCAGGGTCTCAGTTATAAAAACCTTCATTTCCAGGCAGAGCTCAAACAGCCTGGGCATCGTGAAAACGGAACCACTTCTGCAGCTGCATCTCTGCTTCCTGGGGCCAATCACATCGGGAGATGTTTGAAGCGGCATCCCGTTCTCTCTGGCTGAGCTAGAAGAACTCGTCAAAGGGCTACACAGCCCTACTGACTTCCACCCCCCTTCCTCTCTCTCCCCTTTCACCTCTTGCATCATTTCCTCTAAAGGGAAGAGGGGTTCCCCCGTCACTCTCATCGGCCAGGAGCGGTGGTGACAGGTGACCATCATTTTATTTCCCCGGTCCAGCACGCAACTCTTAACTTTTGCCCGGGACTGGCCGGAGGAGCTCCCTGTAGCAAAAGCTTCACCAGCCTGATTGCTGGCTGGACTTGGGGGGCCAGAGAACAAGAAGGCAACACTGCTGTGTCCGGTCAACTACCACTCCAATACTTGCCTGACGCCGTGGATGTTTTTGATCGCATAGCTGATTTCTCGCCTCAGATCCTTCTCGTCAAACTCCATCTAAATGACAGAGAAGTGGAGTTAAGGCCCCAAGACCCAGCACAGCCCCCTCCCCTCCCAGAAAAGCAAGGGCACATTGTCCCTGACAGGTGGCACTGGGCTTGGGACTATCCGCGTTGCTCCGGAAGTCTTAGGAGGCTGTCGGGAAGGGACGCTTGTATTGCTTACCGCCACCAAGGTCAGCGGTACTTGGAGGCTGAGCTTGGGAAGACTCGACGTTGCTATGGCAAACTTTGCCTGAATTGGTTTACCAAAGGCGTGCTAACCAAGACTAGAGCATACAAGCCCTCAAGCGGCCACTCCCGAATGTGACAGGCCCACCTGTTACCTGGAGATAACTTCTCCCAATCAGATTTACCTTGACCAACTCAAAGGGGAACCTCTCGTGGAAAATGCGGTTGATTCGGGCTCCGCCGGAGAGTTCTAGTGTGTCCACCTGGTCCCCAGAACCTTCGATCCGCTTCTCAAAGTCCACAGCAAACTGCTGGACCATCCTGCCCAGAAAGAAAATGGGACCCGTTGATCGGCTGCCATGGCCCACGGAGCAAGAGTACTGACCAGCCGAGATTTTCATTCCTAAAATAATTATCGTCTCTTCAAAACTTCAAAAACACCTGGATAACTCCAAGGATGTAACTGGCGTAGACTTTATTTATGTGCTTATTTATTCGATTTATATTCCACCCTCCCCGCCAATTTTATTACTCAGACCTCTGCTGCTTAATCCTGGTTATCGAAACGCCACCCGCATAAAATGATCTTGTCAGGTTGTTCGAATTCAGGCTTCGGACAGCGTCAGAACATCAACTGTGGAGCGGCAACTAAAAATGCCTTCTGGAGCACTGTTATGGGCCCCTGTCAAGAGCTCTGTAGGTTTGCATAAGTTCCCAAAGAACTGACATGAGATCCAGGTTTATTTACGCATCAGAGTCACCAAAGCAAATTCAGCACTAAGCTTCAATCAGCTGGGCCTCGAGACGTGCACGCAAGCACGGCAAAGCTTAGCCAAACCTCAAGACCAAGACTGTACTAAGAATGAGGTGTCTGATACCCTATGTACCAGCAGCGAGCCCAAGGAATGATGACTCAAGCTATCCCAAACCCTTGGATCTGCCAGGCCATCTTGCACCTGGCTTTCGGGGGAGGGTGGCCCCCACAACCCAGGCCTTGAAGATCAGCACTTGCTTATAAGCATAACAGTGAAAACGTTCCCCTGAGAGCAGTCCATGTGGTCCTCTCCCAAGAGGCTCAGGGCAACACAAGCATCTGCTCTCAGTCTTGAAGAACCATGAGTATGATCCAGCAGTTAATGCTGAATTGCTTCCAGACTCTCACCAACAACAGGCTAACCCTAACCCTATGCCTCTTAAAGGACACAGGTTTGACCCCATAAATAAGGTAAAGGTTTCCCTTGCTCAAAAGCCAGTCGAATCCAACTCTAGGGGGCGGTGCTCATCTCCGTTTCCAAGCCGAAGAGCTAGCGCTGTCCAAAGACATTTTCTGTGGTCATGTGGCCGGCATAACTAAATGCCGAGGCGCACGGAACGCTGTTACCTTCCCACCGAAGTGGTACCTATTTATCTACTTGCAATTTCTTGCTTTCGAACTGCTGGGTTGGCAGGAGCTGGGGCCAGAGACGGGAGCTCACTCCGTCACGCGGCACTCAAACTGCCAACCTACTGACCCGTCCGACTTACTGCAGCAAGGCTTTGGTTTTCCGTGTTGGGTCATCTGGACGGAAGTTCTTGTATTCCTCCACCTCTTTCTCTAGGGACAGCAACTGACTCTGTAGCTTGCTACGCAGTGATGGCAGCGTCTCCCGAATATGGTTTGTCAGTTGCTGGGGTAAAACAAGACAGGAAGCGGCAACTGTCACACAACGTACGAGCACGCAGGAAGCTCTGCCTTAGACAGAATCAAACCATCAGTTCATCCAGGTCAGTACTGTCTGCACCAGGGGTCCCCAATATAGTGCTCGGTCGTGGGCCACAGGATGCCCACCGACATGTATCTTGGTGCACACCGAGTGAATTTAGAAAGTGGGCGTGGCCAGGCAAGGGTTTTATCCAGCAGGGCTTCTGGTTGGCCAATGGGTATTTGACTGGCTGGTGCAGATTGTTTTAAAAACACGGCTTTGGCGGCAGCCGCCACCGCAGCACAAGGACCTTCCCTGGGTGACAGAAGGTCAGCTGCGGCAGCCATTTTGTGGTTGGCTTCACTTCCTGTGGCAGCCATTTTGTGGCTGCGCCCACCACCAGGTGTTAATATTCCAAAGGTGCCCACAAGCTCAGAAAGGTTTGGAACTGCTGGTCTAATCAGAGTAAGTAAAACACTAAATCACCATGTATAATTTTACGTTTCCCCCGTTTTTATATTATGCTAAATGTGAATTATTAAAGTATTTTTAGAATGATTCATTAACACAAATACAGCTTAAGCATTAACCATGAAGCTCAACAGTACATTCAGAATGATGTCACTTCTGTAGAAATATTTCTAGCCGATAATAAGGTCTTATCTTAGGCACAAGGTCCTAATCTAATATACTTATTACAGAAACAACGAAGACAAACAACGGCGTTCCCGTAATCATTCTGTTTGCGTATTCTTCATCAGGTTCGTCTGTTGTTGATTCAACACAGTCTTGAAGTACTGAAGGCAATGTTTCAAGATTATTAGTACTGGTTCGTATACTATATTGGTGCCACGCTATTGCGTTTAAGTTCTGGCAACTGGAAATCGCCAATATTAAACGATGATGCGACTAGGTCTACAATACATTTCAAATGGCTGAACTTCCCTAGGGGGAGTTAAACGCAATAGCATGGCACCAATATAGTATATGAACTATATGAACTAGTACTAAGAATCAGTACATCCTGAATGTACTGTTGAGCTTCACGGTTAATGCTTAAGTTGTATATTTGTGCTAGCATAATATAAAAACAGGACAAAAATGTAAAATTATACACGGTGATTTAGTGTTTTACTTGGTCACATACACCGTGGTCTGGTTTGTTTTAATTGGTCCAATCGGAGCAGCAGGGGCGCTCCAGGCTCGCAGGCAGGGGTCTTTCACATCACCTACTGCCTGTTCCTTTATAACTGGAGATGTTCCTTTTTAACTGGAGATGCTGAGGAGGGAACCTGGGATCTCCGGCACGCCAAGCGAGAGGCCCTTCCACTGAGAGCCACGGCCCCTCCCCTTTAGCTGCCCTTCCGCACTACTAAGCGCAGGTTTGCTTTGGCTTTGCCCAATATTGAGGGATATTGGGCAGTCTCCCAGGGGAAGCCCCGAGACTCCCACTTTTTGCTCTTCAACAGTGGAAGACAGCGGGGGCTCCTCTCCAAGGCACGCTGTTCAGAGCAGGCGCTGCCTCCAAAAGATAACGGACCCCTGTCCTTCTCCAACATGTTGTCCTGAACAGTCCCTCTCACCCCTTCCAAGTGGGATGCCATCAACAGACTGCTTTGTGTCACTTAGACAAACGTGCCCAACAGCCCGGAACAACCCCGCTGAGAAACATCCGCACACATCCGCACGAGAAGGTATTAGCACTGCTGCAAGCTTATTTCACGCCCCCAATACACCAGGGGTGACGCCTGTAAGGAAAATACACTGACAGCCGGGGACTGGAGCGACTGCTCGTTCTGATCCCTGCCCCGCACCTCTTTCAAAAGTTCTAGCTACCTTTTGGTTTCAGTGGTTTGCCTAAGGCGAGATGGAAAACCACACTGCAGTTTGTTATATTCATTTAAAACATTTCTGTGCCGCCTTTCCGGCCACTCAGTGTCCCCCAAGGCAGCGGACATAAACATTAAAACCTCTGAGCAATTAAAAACTATGTTTAAATAATTAAATAAAAATGCATAAACATCCGACCCCAGAACCAGGGAGGAGGGTTAACAGCCATTACTCAAGTGTGCCGAAAGAAAGTCTTCTGGCGGAAGACACCAATAGAGGGAAAGACAACTCCCCCCCCGGGGGGGGGTGGAGTTCCAAAGTTTTGGTGCCACGACAGAGAAGACCCTTTCTGCCACCTGTTCGGCCTCAGATGGGGGGGCCCCCGCCCAACCGAGCGAACGGGTTGGTTCAGCTGAGAGCTGCAAGCTTCCTTCTCCTCCTGAATATGAGGGAGGGGCTCGTCCTGCCGTTCAGCTGAACACCAACTATTCACGACGATCCAGGCAGAGAGAAAGGGGCCGTCCCGCCGAGGACCTACCTGGTTGAGGACCTTCTGCAAATGGGGAGTCCCCATGCGGTCAGCCATGTGTCTGTAAGCAGGATGGGAGAGGAAGAACTTGCGCTCGGCAGCCAGGGCTGTTCGGATATCCTTCTTGCCATCGATGTCCTTTTGGCTCCGGTTCACGACTCCAATGTAGCCTTACGGGTGGACAGCGCCAAAGGTTAGTTTTCGGCCGGTACTTCTGCACTACTTCCCACCCCCCGGCCACGTGTGTCCCCCCACCAGCACCGATTCTTTTTTATATATATATAATAGATTTTTATTGATTTTCCAAACATACAAAAAGAAAATTGAAAAATAAGTAATATCTTGTAATACATTCAGATTACATCTCTCCTATGTAGCTTAAAACAGAAAATTTATCTAATAACCTAATGGTATTTGCAACTACATAAATCAAACAATACATAAAAGATTTTATTTGATAATTATCTCAACATTCTAATATCATTATCTTTTGGTGATAAAAATTCAAGGGCTCTTACTATAAAATCTCATGTTTTCTTAATCTGTTCTCATCTTTAATAAAGACATTTCCCTCCTGTTTTTCCTTGCCAGTTTGAGTTGCCTTATTTTTAATAAAAGTAGAGATACATGCTCCTTTATGATTCACCTAATAGTCTAACTTATCTACTATTTTGTTATTTTATTAAAAACCTTCACACTGTTACCTCTCTCACTTAGCCTCTTAACAATATAGGCCGTTCCATTTGGTTACACTTTCATAAGAGCTCCCTAGGACACATATATAGAGAGAGGATGAGTTTTCTTAAAACAATTTTATATAAATAAAAGTAAATGCTCCTTCTTTATAGTTCCCCTACAAATCTATCTTATCTACTATTATACTAAAAATCCTTACATTTTCACATTTATCAATTGATTTCTTCTCAAAATAAGCCATTCTGTTTAGTCACACTTTAATAAAAGCTCCTTGAGGCACTCTTATGTGGAGAGAGGTCACCGATTCTAACCTGATGCAGTTCCGCAGGGCCTGCAAGACGGAGCTCTTCCACCAGGCCTTTGGTTAAGGAGCCGCCGTCGCCGCCACCACCAAGTGTACCATCATTAACATTATTAGAGCCCGTTCCCTGGTTTTCATTGTTTACCGCTAGTGCCAGCCGCATATAATGATCAAGGAGCTGAGAAACACAGCAGACTGTAGAACATATTGCTGATTGTACCACCGTCTTTAACTATTTATATTCATTTAGCTAGCACTTTATGATTGTGGATTGTTTTAAACTGGTTTATCTAGGTTTACAATTGTCTATTTATATTTTATCTCTTGTAAGCTGCCTTGAGCCTGCCTTGGCAGGGAGGGCGGGGTACAAATTCAACTAATTAATAAATAAATCTCAGCAGCAGGTTCAGGAAGCCACATAGCTGCGACCGGACACCTGAGTGGAAAATATGGATCATGCCCCAAATCGAGTCGATGGCATTTAAAATGGGAAGGATCCACGCCTCCTGCTGTACTTGGGTACTGTCAGGTAGCCTTGTCATACGTCTGGAATGTGGAGGGGTGCCCTCCTGTTTTCTGTCTCAGCTCTCCCTGGCTCACCGACTGTTTGCTATTTTAGGCTTGACCTTGTAGATGGTCTTAAAGGTGCCACTGGACTGTTTTGAAGCGGGGGACCGCTGTTGTGGTGGTTTGGTGGGGGTGTGGTGGGGGGTGGGGGGGGGGGGGGGGGGGGGGCTTGTTGCATGTGCCCGCCCTCTGTGCTCTTTACTGTCGGAGCTCAACTCCTGTGCGCGCCTGCAGGAAATGACCTCTGCTCCTGGCACTGGGATTCAGAGGCCGACTACCTCTGCCCTCCGAAGGGGATTTTTTTTATTTTCCATTTTCTACACACTACAAATATGGGATGTGGAAAGGAATACTAATGCCCTATCACTATTACTATGGGAAATGGGTCAGGGAGATCTAGATACAGAAGGAAAAGAATCTAAAACCAGATGTGGAGGAAGAAGCAGAAGAAGAGGAGTCCTACTCACAGGACTCAACAAGCCAAATTTCCTCATCATCAGAATCATCTGAATCGGAGTAAAGAGAAGGCCGCTCCCAAATTGCAGAAAACGAAGAAATCTAAGAAGAAAAGACTCTAAAACTAAAGCATGAGTGCTAAGGGAAGTGATTGTGCCAAGCTAATAATTTTATATTTGTATAATCGAACTGATCTCTGTATAACCTGTATTAATAGGTTTAGAAGATCTATTTTTTTAGCTTTTCAGATCGTGATTTGTATTAGTCTTCACCCTATCCCCATATCCAGTAGATTTAGAATAGAGTGGTAGTTTTCCTTCCCCTATCCAGTAGACTTTATGTATCTAGATCATCCTGAACTTATTTCTGATCAGCTTCACTAGGTGCACCTGAATTCCAGGATTATGGAAGTTACCAGCCTGCCAGCGCCACATAACAAGGACATTTGGGAACAGATTTCTCCTAGGAGGGCCACTTTCACTTACTCTCACGCCCAAGCGAGAACACATTACATGAACACTGCACAATCGCTGGGAACCATCTAACTGAACCCACATAACCACTTTTATTTAAACGCCATATTTTAAAAACTCAAAACTACAGGTCATCTGCCACCAGAGCAAGTTCATTCAACGGAACAGCCTTCAGCTATTAGTGAGAACAGATTTCTACCTCTCCGCAGAGGTAAGAGTTTGTTCTCCAGGACATCTCTAGCATCAGTGCCTTCATCCATCAGGTCCAGCTTGGTGATCACCCCAATTGTCCGTAGCCCTGCAAGAGAGACAGAAACAGAACACAGTCTGGGACAGGTATAAAAGAAGTGGCAATAAACTTAGCTGAGCTCACATTTCTAGGCTTCTCAACAAGACGGAGCAGGGTCTTCTCAATTTTACGAAGCTTTTTGATTCCTTATACTATTTCATGATAACTGCACAGAATTACCTTGTAAAGTGATTAATTCTTTTTGGTCTCAAATCGTAAGGGAAATTACACAAATAACAAATTGTATTATTCAAGAGTCTCCAAAACTTACTCTTTTGAATTTGTGGGGAAATCATAATATCCCAAAAGTTAGGCAAGATCCAATTATGACCATGATTACCGCAGCAAAAAATATCACAGCCATAAAATGGAAATAAAGACACACCCCCACACACACACACACAAAGGGCAACAATGGTATCTTAAATTGTGAGACTATTTCATAATGTATAAAATTACAGATAACTTATAAAGTACAATGGTTCAGGGTTTGACAATACAGTTAACTTGATAAATGGCTTCCTTTTATGGAAAAAAGTTGGCAGACTTCTGATGGTTTCAACAATTTAAAGAAAAAAGATCAACATATTTCTCTATTTACCTATCACTGACAGTATTCCCTTCTGATGTTTAAATAAGGGGATGTAATGGCATATCTATAACGTACAACTTTTCTTTTAAATGTTATTTGAATGCTGTTGGAAAGCAATTATAGGTTATGTACATTTTGAATTTACCAATAAAATAATTTTTTTTAAATACTGCACTGAATTAAAGCTCAGGGCTGGAATTACTCTCTCTTGCAAGCTACTGTGTTCTTCAAAGCTCCAACTGTCTTAATCTTATGGCTCCATGATCGCTACATGTTACTGTTTGAGAACCAACACACAGTGTGATGATTAAGAGAACCGGGCAAGGACCTGGGAGACCCAGATTCGAGTCCCCGCTCTGCCCTGGAGGCTCACTGGGTGACCTTGGGCCAGTCACACTCTCTCAGCCTAACTTACCTCGCAGGGTTGTTGGGAGGCTAAGGAGAATGATGGAAGCCCCCTTGGATCCCCACTGGGGAGAAAGGTGGGGTACGAATGACGTAAACAAATCTGTCTCCCAGAACCCACTAGAAAATTCCCTTCTGAGCTTCTTCCTGACACCCAGTCCCACCAAGGACCAGTCAGGAGAGTTGCGGAGAGAGGCATCGTGGGGGAGGGTGTGTGTGTCCCATATAACCCTGACTTGGAACTCTTGCCAATAACACAGGTGAAAGGGACAGACCACTTTACCTTGTGGGTCAACTTCTTTGGCCATTTTGAGAGCGTCCGAGTTGGCCAAATCCATGTTAGCCGGAGTCACGGCAAGAATCAAGCTGCTCTCCCGGCTGATGAACTGCAAGATCATATCTTTGATCTGGTACTCAATGTCTTGAGGCTGATCACCCACCGGCACCTTCGTAATACCCGGAAGGTCGATCAGAGTTAAATTCAACACTGCAAAGGAAGCGAGCAAAGCGGTAAGAATCTCCTGCGGAAACGAAGAACGACTTTGTCTCAAAGTTGGCAGTTCCGGGGTTCAGGGAGCTCTGAAAAACACCTCCTAGTTGCGGAAGGGAAATCCACACAGTCACCCCACGCAGGGCCAACATCGGGATACCCTCAGGAGGGGCAGTGGTGGGGCCCAAGGTTTGGGGCAGAGGCTCCTGCTGCCAGCACCCCCTGCTCACTCGCTCTCTAGTATTCTCTTCATCCGTGCCCCCCGCTGCATGCACTGCTTGGTGCCACTGGGGAAAGGTCAAAAATAACAAGCGGTCACACAGTCAAATCTACAGGAGCCAGAATACAACCAACTGTGCAACTGTGTCTTAGGATGCATTAACAGAAGCACTGAGTCCAGATCACAGAGGTGGTAGTTCCACTGCTCTATTCTGCTATGGTCAGGCCGCACCTGGAGTTCTGTGTCCAGTTCTGGGCACCACATTTTAGGAAGGATGTTGACAAGCTCGAGCGTGTCCAGAAGAGGGCAACCAAGATGGTGAGAGGGTTGGAATCCAAGTCTTATGAGGAAAGGCTGAAAGAGCTAAGTCTGTTTAGCCTGGGAAAGAGAAGGCTTAGAAGGGGACATGATTGCAGTCTTCAAATATTTGAAGGGCTGTCAGGTAGAAGACGGAGCAGATCTATTCTCTCTTGCTCCGGATTGCAAGACTAGATCTAATGGGTGGAAATTACAAGGGAGTCGATACCGGCTAAATATCAGGAGAAACTTCCTAACTGTAAGAGTGGTTGAGCAGTGGAACAGACCGCCTCGGGAGGTGGTGGATGCTCCTTCGCTGGACATTTTCAAGTGGAGGCTGAACGACCATCTTTCGGGTATGTTGTAGGTATGTAGGGCTATCTTTCAGCTATGCTCCTGCAGAGTGCAGGGGGTTGGACTAGATGACCTGCAAGGTCCCTTCCACCTCTAACATTCTATGATTCTATAAGCGCTAACAAAGGTTTGGATTGGTGAGTCTGCTGCATGGTTTTTTACTGTTCCTTATGCAAAATTAAGGTATTATTGATCTCTGATGTTGTATTATTATTTCTTTAGAAGCTGTCTTACAGTTTTACATATTCTGAAATTGATCAGTCATGATATGTAGGTACTGTTGCCCATATTGTTAAAATTTATTTATTTATTTTATTTCACATGCATATCAGTTTGATATTCTGGAAGAAGACTTCCAAAACGAAGATCACAATGCGGAGACTTCGTCAATGAAATGGAAATTTATGAAATATGAATTTATGCACAAGTGAAATATGTATTTGTTGAAAGAATAAAAAGGTAAAGGTTCCCTTGCTCGAAAGTCAGTCGAGTCCGACTCTAGGGTTGCGGTGCTCATCTCCGTTTCAAAGCCGAAGAGCCAGCGCTGTCCGAAGATGTTTCCGAGGTCATGTGGCCAGCATGACTAAACACCAATGCACACGGAACGCTGTTACCTTCCCACCGAAGTGGTACCTATTTATCTACTTGCAATTTCTTGCTTTCGAACTGCTAGGTTGGCAGGAACTGGAACTAGAGACGGGTGCTCACTCCGTCATGCGGCAACTCGGGTCTTGAACTGCTGAAGTAATGACCTTCCACAGCCTGCAGTTCAGCGCCTTAACCACTTGAGCCACCGCACATAAATGTTAATAGTTCCTTTATTATTTGAACACTGTTATAATTGATCAGTGCTTATATATACAGTTAGTTGTATTCTGGCTACCGGGGAAAGGTCTGTGAGCAGAGGCCGAGGGAGGGCTTGTGAGCAGACAGGGGAAAGTGGGAGGCACGCAGGTGGGTGGGTGGGAGGGAAGGAGGGCACGAGTAGCCAGTGGCAGGCAGAGGGCAGGGGAACCTAGGAACTGCCTTGTCTGGGGGCCCCAAAAACATGGAACCAGCCCTAACCCCACAGACTCTCATTAAAAACTAAACGGTAAATATTTCCTGTAACACAGGAGTACAGGAACTTCAGAGCTACGATTTCACATCTTTCTCTCATTAGTCAGTTCTATGAAAATCCAGGTTTCATGCAGGACTCTAACCTTTGTTACGGAGAGCACACATAAAGCACCTTTCATCAACTTTTATTGCACCAGCAACAAAAAACACAAGTTCGAAGACTAAACATTCACTTGCTGTCCAACTTGGTATTCTCAAAGACGTATTCATAACCACATTTGTGCGATTTTGGAAATCAAAAAATAAAAAGCACATAATACCCTGTCCAAACTATTTTCTCCATAATAAAAAGGTCACAAAGCATTTTAACCAAATTATAACATTAAAAGGTCAGCTTCCAGGTTCTTGTGACTAATAAGTACCGCATAAGGCCGGTGCTGTTTTCTGATTCAATGCTACTTCTCCCAAAACGCTTTCAATAATCCAGTGACCCTCAGACCCAACACCCGCCTACAGAGGCCCAACCACACCTACCATGAGGTGAATATACCCTTAGGTTAATGGGAATGGGAGAGATGCCTTTGTTGGTTCCTGTAGCCCTGTCGGTCTCCGCTTCGATCTCCTGCCGAACTTCATCAAAATCTGTAAACTTCTTGGACTTGCAGTGCAAAAATTCGGCATATTCTGAAAGAGAAAATACGTGAGATGAAGAACACTGGTGTTCTCTCTTTCTCTCTCTATATATATGTATATTAATTCTGAAGGCATGTTGGGGACATTGGGACAACATTCTGGTTTTGGGGCAAAAACTCTATGGTAGAAGCTAATTCTACCATAGAGGTTTTGCTCAAAAACCATAGTGTTGCCCCAACATGCCTACGTCATGTCCGGGTTACGTTGGAAGTCACTGAAGTCGCTGAAACATGGGTTGAAACTCCCTGTTTCCAGTAAGCCCACCCCCCCATCCCCCACCGCCTGCCTAGAAGGACCGGGTAACCCTAGATGGGTACCACATCGGGGCCAAAACACTGCTCCTCTTTTATGTTGTTTTAACCTGTTATTCAATTATTGTTTATGATATTGTTGTAAACTGCCCTGAAACTGTTCTCGGGGAGGGCGCTAATAAATAATCAAATAAAGAAATAAAATAAATAGAGGAGGAATGTTTGGGTTCAGGCTGGTCTGAATGTACAGGGTAGTTGCTCCATTCCTGGGGAAAGGGTGAAAGACAATAAAAGGGGTAATGCTGCCATGGTGGAGGAGGAGTTGAACATTGCTATGGGACCATACGGGCCAGATCTGGCAGATTTGATGGGGGTGGAATCGATATGGTTCCAAATTGCCCTTGGAGAAAGACCGCATTGGAGATGGGGTATGAACAGACAGTTTGTAGTGGGACTAACTGCTCCTGTTCAATAGGCTCTGTCACTGGAGTTGTCAGAACCAGTGCAGTTGTTGGCTTCAGAACATTGCATGGGCATCATCTTAGAAACCGAGAAGGGACCTTTTAGAACTGTGCGGTGTTTCTCCAGTTTGGTGTAGTGGTTAAGTGCGCGGACTCTAATCTGGGAGAACCGGGTTCGATTCCCCACTCCTCCACTTGCACCTGGCTGGATGACCTTGGGCAAGCCGTAGTTCTGATAAGAGCTGTTCTTGAAAAGGAGCAGTTTCTGCCAAGAGCTCTCTCAGCCCCACCTACCTTGCAGGGTGTCTGCTGTGGGGAGGGGAAGGGAAAGGAGTTTGTAAGCCGCTCTGAGACACCTTTGGGTAGTGAAGGGCGGGGTATCAATCCAATCTCTTCTTCTGTTTTGATTTTGCCTTGCCCTAATTAGGTGCTGGTTCCAAGGCATAACATGAAGGGGATCAGTCTGAGAATTGCGATCTGTGCATGGAACCAAGGGCAGTGATGCAACAGAGGGTGGTTCCAATGGTTTTTCGATCATTTTGCCAGGGCACCATGGGGTTGCTCTATTGAGGCAGAGGGTTTAACTGCTGGGACGTCAGAGCTTGATGGCCCTTTTCCCCACAGGCTAGCCTGTACATGAGCAGATCGGGCTTTTGGGCTGAACTGCAGGCCATGTTGTGCCCCCCGCCCAAACATAAGAGGCAGACTGAATGTTCATCCGACCTGGCCATTTTCATATTGCAATCAGTACGCTTTTTAAATAAGGCTTTCTGAGACATAATTTCCAGAATTCGAATGGCAAAACCCCTTTTTAAAGAGCTCAGCTGAATAAACGGGAATTCCCGCAGAGATGCTAGAACAACAACCTTCTGCTGCACCAACAAAAGATGAACTGAGGGGAAGGGGAGCGCCCCCCCCCGCTGGTGCACGTGACCGTTTGAGTGGGAAAATGGTCGGCAACTAACCCACTCTGGAGTGGAGGTGCTCCCCCGTAGTTCTATTCCTAGAAAATGCTGAGAGAGACCTCCAGTCGCCGACCTGCGTAAGCACAGTCCCCAGTGTGGGACTGCACAGAAGACCAAAGATGAAACATGGGTGCCAGCTTGGCACCCCATCTAGCTGCCAAGTCCAGAGGTCAGTGGGGGAGGGGCTGATCCATCTTGCAAGGCAGTCAGATGCTCCAAGGAGTCCAGTGTTTAGACAAGCAAGCAACTCTGTTTTCTGTGGTTTTGCTGGAGTGTTTCAACTCTCCGTATATTCACCCCACTATCTTTTCTGTAAGTGTACAGCCATCAAAACTAAAAAAAAACCCTCAATACTTTGATTTAAGAGAAACTTTCTGGATGAACCTTCTTACCATCCTAGTCACTTTGTAAGCCCAGAGTCCCAGACGTGGCGATCGTGGACACCATAGCTCCCACCAACACCTTTTCTGGGCCCCGCCAAGTGTTTTTAGAAAGCGGGTGAAGCTTCTGGCCAGCAAGGTTTCTGACTGGCTGTGCGGATTTTTAAAAACATTGATTTGGTAGCAGCTGCCACAACAGCACAAAGATCTTCACTGTGTGATAGCGGGTAAGTGGCAGCAGCCATTCTGTAGCAGCCATTCGGTGGCTGCACCCACTATGCGGTGCCGGAATTCCAAAGGTGCCCCTGGGTACAGAAAGGCTGGGGCCCCCTGTTGTAAACTCAACAAATACAAATATAGATATTTATTTATTATATTAGGCTTATAGCCCGCCCTACCCCTGCACAGCGGGGCACAGGGCAGGTAACAACAAGTGCCAACAATGCATTAAAACAGAAATATATTGATCGTTGTACAATAAAAGCCAATTCATAACAATTTTAAAATTAAACAATCACATGGTGATCAAAGACTCGATACAGCTAGTACAGAGGAGATTCTGTTTCGTGTGTGACCGTAGGTGTTAGGGTGGTAATTAACAGATGGACTACCGGGGGGGGGGGCAATGTGGATGGAATGCCGCCACTTCAAGCATAGGCCTGGCAGAACTTCTCCGTTTTACAAGCCTTGCAGAACTGCATTAGATCCTGCTGGGCCCAGATCTCACTTCCACTCCGGCTGAGGCTAAGCGGATGTCACGGGTCCTGGCTCCACTGAGGCTGCCTATTCCTCAGACGAGGAAGAGGCATGGAGCAACCCAGCCTCCTCTGGAGTCAGCCCAGAAGACGAACCTTTACCAGCACCTTTACCAGTACCCCAGCATCGGCACAGGAGGGGCAGCAAGGCAAAGAGACTGAGGTGCAGTCAGAGGGAGAGACTGATCCAGAGCCTGGCCCAGCACCCCCAGTTGGATGGAGACACCTCGAGGCCAGAGTCCCCGCCTAGCTCACCTGACTGTCCCAGAGGCAGGGCACGCCAGCGTCTACAGGTGCAGGAGAGGAGGAGGGGTGCCAGACTTCAGCCGTTGCCAAGGCAACGTGAGGGGCCGTGAGTCTTTGCAGGTCGCCTCCCAGGGAAGGGAGGATCCAGTCATAAGCAACCACGCTCACCTGCCTCGTTGCGGATGCAACCGTGCAATCTTGGACCTTGTCCCGGCTGCCAGCCTCCACTCCTTGCTCCTGAGAACTCTGACTGATCTCCTGGCATTCTGACCCTTGGCTCTGTTTCTCAGCTTGCTTTTGGACTGTGTATCCAGCTTTCAGTGAAGGGTATCTGTGGCGACTGGCCAGACCCAGCACAGCGGATGTCTTTTGGGCTGGGGATCACCAGGAGATTTTGATCCCTTGAGCATGATATGTTGGTCCCAGACTGCAAAGGGTTTTAAAGGTTAGAGTCAGCACCTTGAACTTGATCCAGTACTCCACCGGGAGGCAGTGGAGCTGGCGGAGCACTGGTTGAATGTGTGCTCTTAAAGGTGTTCCAGTAAGAACACGCGATGCCGCAGTCTAGACCAGCTGGAGTTTTCGGGTCAACCTCAAGGGTAGTCCAGCGTAGAGCGAATTACAGTAGTCCAGCCTGGAGGTGACCATTGCATGGATCACTGTAGATAGGTTGAGGGGGGGAGGAAGGGGACCAGTTGCTTGGCCTCGTGTAGGTAGAAAAAAGCCAGCTTAGCAACATATAGCCAGGGTCTGACATACCTGAGGGACCACCTTTCCCCATACGTACCCCAGAGAGCACTACGGTCAGGGTCACAAAACCGACTGGCCCTCCCGGGTCCCAAAGGTGCCAGGCTGGCTGCAACCAGGACCAGGGCTTTTTCAGTGGTGGCTCCATACTGGTGGAATGAGCTCCTGGAAGAGATCAGGGCCCGCGGGACCTTTTACAGTTCCGCAGGGCCTGTAAGATGGAGCTCTTCCACCAGGCCTTCGATTAGGGAGCCGCCACCATTATTAACAACAGCTGAAATTTACAGAGCCCTGGCCCTTGGTTTGCTATTCACAGTCTGTGCCTGCCAATTATATCTAGGAAAGATCAGTGAGCTGAACATCTAGATAAACTATTGAATGTATTCATTTTCGGACAGCTCTGCTTTAACCAGCCAGCCACAGCCTTCAAACCCTTGGCTAAAACATCTCGGGTGGCATTCAGCTGATCATCCATCAGCAGATACAGCTGGGTGTCATCAGCATACTGGTGGCAACCCAGCCCAAAACTCCAGACCAACTGGGCAAGGGGGTGCATTGAGATGTTCAATAACACTGGGGGAAAGGATCGCCCCGAGGGACACCACATACCAAAGAGTACTGTGGTGAAACCTCTCCCCACTAGCCACGCTCTGTCCTCAACTGTGTATCCCCACATCAGCGAGGCAGTGAGTCATCAGATTACAGTCGACTGTGTCAAATGCTGCTGTAAGAACCAATAGCGACAGCGGTGCTGACTCATCTTGATCCAGGTGTCTCTGGGGATTGTCCATGAGGGCGACCAAAGCCGTCTCCATACCATAGCCAGGGTGGAAGCCAGATTGGAATGCGTCCAGGATTGAAGCGTCTTCCAGGAAAGCCTGAAACTGTGCTGCTGCAGCTCTCTCAACTACCTTACCCAGGAATGAAAGATTCGAAACTGGGCGATAGTTGGCTGGATCAGTAGGCTCCAGAGATTTTTTCCCCAAGAGTGGCTTCACCTCTGTTTCCTTTAAGGCCCCTGGGAAGGTCCCTGAACTCAGAGATAAGGTTATAATATCCACCAGGGGGGCCCATATTCCATCACCACTGGCTTTCACCGGCCATGATGGGCAACGGACCAGGAGGCAAGCGGTGGGCTTCACAGCATTAAGGACCTTGTCAGCCTCATCCTGGAAGAGTTGGCTGA